AGCATAGTTAATCCAAGGTCATCCAGCTAGAAGTAGTGGGGCTGAGATCTGATTCCATTATCATCCAGGCTCCTAAATATTTGCTTTTTTCCTACTGCCACCTGCCCAGCGGCCCCCCTGAGGCATGGAGGTCTTGGGTGCAGCTTGTAGAGTCAGGCTGTGGGTTTCAATTCTAGCTCCTCTATTTAAATAGCTCAGTGATCCCAGGTCAGTTCCTGATCCTCATCTGTAAAATGGGGATGATTTTATCACCTTTCCCACAGACGTTCCCGGAGGATTAAAGGGAGAATGTGTCTAAAGCTCTAGGCACACGTGCCTGGCATGTGAGTGCTCCGTAAATGTTTGTTGCTATGATTATTATTAGCCCATCAGGACAGAGAGGCGTGGTAGGCCCCTGGGGTGCGATTGCTCCTCTGTTTACTCCTCGGACGGTCCTGGCCTGGCGGGCGTTCCTGAGTTTGTTTTTCCTGTCCCAAGGTTGCCCTGGTGCTCTGCAGTGACCGGCAGAGCTGAGATGATTATACAACCTCTACTCCAGGCCAAGTCTGGTATTTGCCTCTGCTGTCGGCTAGGCCTGCGCTGCTGTGGGTGAGGGAATCACTCCTCTCCAGCTGGCTTTCTCATGCTGGAGAAGTCTGACCTTTATTCAGAATCGTCCTCCAGCACCCACATCACACAGCACCCTGGCTCACCCGTCCCTCCTACAACATGTCCTTTACATTCTCATCTGGGGAGATAATGGGGGTCCAGTATCCCCAAGACAGCTGCTTTTCCTTTCTTCTTCATTTTTGATAACGGTGTCCTCCAGAGCTGCTGCTTCGACTGTAGAGGGATCCAGGAAAGGGCGGCAAGGTGACAAAGGAAACAGCTGGGTTCCATCCTGGCTGCATGCTCTGCGGGACAGAACAACTGCTCTACCTTTAAAGTCACGTATCAGGATAATATACAGTATTTCATGTAACTATATATACGTTTATGTTATATAATACATCTTTGTGAAGTTGTGACGATGGTAAAAGCTTAGCCCGGTGACTGGCGTGTCATAAGCACCTCACAGGGGCCAGCTGGCATCATTAGCAGTCATAGGAAAACTCAGAGTGTGTCTCCACTCCAGGCTCAGTGCCCCCACTGTCCTGTGGGGTTGCTGAGAGCTGTTCTCATAAGGTTGTGAGGATGGGAATTGGAGAGCAGTCTGAGAAAACTGGAGCCCACCAGGTCCACAGCTGGACTGAGCTCACCCCTTCTCCCCTGGGCCTTGTGGGAACTTGGGGCCTGGTGGTGACACCTGCCCCTCCATCCCACTGAGCAGGCCCAGCTGACCCTCCCAGTACAGGGGCTGGGAAGCTGCGAAGAACCCATAGGCCCAGAATTCCTACCTGTCAGGCAGCCCCACTGCCATGTCTCATTTATTTTTCTCTGTCTCCTTTTCCATCTCCCCTTCTAGCACCTTCTGAAACTCCCTAGACTTGTGCTACCAACACACCAACCCTTGCTGAATTGTCATATCAGGCAGATGGCTCAGGTGTCCCCAGCTCGCTGAAGCTCTTCCCTTCCCCTCCTCTGGGCAGGGGACTCAGGCTTTCCTCTGAAGGATCCAGCCCACCTCCCAGTGTCCAGAGGGTTAGGTTGGCAAAAATCACAATTACTTTTGCACCAACATAACAACTTTTGCACAGCCAGGAGATCTCCTGCCATCTACTCAGCCTTCCATCCTGCTCTCTGAGACTTTATTCTTTCTGTTCTTTCTGTTTCTTGCTGCCCAGGGTGCCCCCACCTCCCGTGGCTGAAATGCTGCCCTCTCCCATCCTGCCCAGACGCCTCTTCTACCAAGCTTTTCCCACTGCCCCATCTGGAATAATACATATATGCAACTGCAAAATCTCTCTTTTTTGTTTTTTTCATGTTTTTTTTTTTTTTTTTCCTTCTTTTTTTTTTATTTGCTGCCATGGTCCTTAGGGAAGAGATTCTACCTTCATGATGCCTAAGCAGCTTGGATCACGGCAGGAGCTTGGAGCCCTCTCCACACCTCTATTCTCTCATCAGTAAAATGGGGATAAGCGTTATAAATAACCAGCCCTCTTAAGAGTTGCTGTAAGGCTTGAAAGAGGCTTTTGGCATGAATATCACCTGTCTCAGGGCTCTGCACATTGTAAGGAACCAGTGAATGAGTGGCTGAATGATGGAAAGGATGAAGGCCTTTACTGGTCTACTTGAAGTTGTCAACATGGATAGGTTTTTGCTACAGTCCTCGCCAGCCCTCCTAATGCCACATCAGCAGCATGGCATATACACCTGCACATCCAGGTTCCGCATGAGACTCCCAGATCACCTAAATTACAGCTGTGAATTCTTCTAAAACAGGGGTCAACAAACTGTGATCTCTAAGTTAAATCCAGTCCACTGCCTAGCTTTGTGCAGCTTGCACACTAAGGATGGTTGCTACATTTTAAAATGGTTTTTACATAGAAAATGTTACTTTTTTTTTTTTTTTTTGAGACAGACTTTCGGTCATTTTCCCCGGGCTGGAGTGCAATGGCGTGATCTCGGCTCACCGCAACCTCCGCCTCCTGGGTTCAGGCAATTCTCCTGCCTCAGCCTTCTGAGTAGCTGGGATTACAGGCACGCACCACCATGCCCAGCTAATTTTTTGTATTTTTAGTAGAGATGGGGTTTCACCATGTTGACCAGGATGGTCTCGATCTCTTGACCTCGTGATCCACCCGCCTCGGCCTCCCAAAGGGCTGGGATTACAGGCTTGAGCCACCGCGCCCGGCCAATGTTACATTTTTAAATGTAATGTAAATTAAATGCAAATGTAAATATTTACATTTTTACATGCTTAAATAAAAAAATCACAGAAAGTGCAATTTCATAGCATGAAAATTATAGGAAATTCTAACATTAGCATTTATAAATAAAGTTTTATTGACACTCCACTATGCTCATTTATTTATATATTATCTACACAAGCTATAGTTGGTATGTGCAGAGCTTTCACTCAATGATGGTACAGTTGAGTAGTTTCAACAGACATGGCATGGCCCACAAAACCAAAATATTTATTACTTGGCCCATTACAAAAAAATTTTTTTTGTACTGATTCTTGGTCTGTGAAACAGAAGCAACGATGAAAACCTGCCCTTCGTGTGTGGGTGAAATGTTAAATTGCTTGATATCAAGTAGGCACTCAAAGAAGATTATTTCTTCTGCTCTCTGTTCCTCCCTGTCGTCATTCCCTTTCACAGAGGGCTCTTTATTTCAGGGTCCGAGCCATGTAAAACCATAAGGGAAAGGATGGCAGGGAGACTCTGAACCAGTGCCATGCCCGTACCAGGCATCAGAACAGCAGATCTGTGTGTGTCAGCTCCACCTTCCTGCTCCAGGGCCTCCACGGGCCTCTAAGTCTGTGGAACTGCTGGGGTACAGGCAGAGTTTAAATCTGCATTTTTGCATTTTGCATCTCTGGGTTCCAGATGTGGATGCGGCCAGCCCTGCCTGGCCTGCCCCAGAGAGCAGCTTCTGTTTGGTTTATCAGAGGCTTCACAGCTTCCACTGCACCTTTTTTGCTTTGGGCATTACAACTTGGGCTGCAGCTTTAGTTTGGCTTGGCTTAAGGTAGGATTCAGCCTCTGGGCTGAAATTGAGGGTCTTGATTCTGCTTTGAGAAATGGTATGGCATCCTGAAAGGAACCAAGATTTGGAATCTGGGCTGGAATCCTAGTTGTGCCCCTCACAAGCTCTAGGATTCGTACCTTTCTCTTTTTCTGAAAAGTTGGGGTGATGCTTTTTACTGGAGAAGGGTGTTGGCAGGGCCCTCCACCATGTAGGGTTGAGGGAGCTAGGTTTTGTCTTTCTGCACTGAAGCTCAGCTCTTAGAACAGTGCCTGGCCTGGGGTAAGCACTCAGCAAGCACCTGACTTAGAAAGGAGATTAAAAGATGTAGATCTCCTGGCACACGATAGAATCTTATTAAGTAGTCACATTGCCATTGTCTGTACTCAACCAGCAATTGGCAAACTATGGCCCACAGCCTGTTTTTGTAAATAAAGTTTTATTGGAACATAGCTATGCCAATTTCTTTACATCTTGTCGGTGGCTGCTTTCCTGCTATAGCGGGGGAGTGGAACAACAGTTGTGAGTGAGACCTATGCCCTGCCAAGCCTAAAATATATACTGTCTGGCTCTTTACATCAAAACTTTGTGGTTCCTGCTCTGAATGTCAGGGTGACCCTGTCTGAGGATGGTCACGGATTTCATTTTCCCTTGTTTGCTAATGTTGCAGTCAGTCACAAGTCGAAAACAAGGAACCAGCTTGAGGTACATATTCTCGATGCCCTTTCTAAGATACGTATGGAGGCTTTTCTTTTCTGCTCCAATTCCACCACACTGTTTTGGTGTGGTCAGAAGTGGCTTCTTTGTGCCTCCCCCCAGATCTCATATGTAAGATGGTGTTACTTTCATTTCTTTGTAAAAAGAAACTCAATCCACCTGTCAATTGCTGGTCTCTTCATTAGGGATTAATCATGGGTCCCGCAACAAGTCTAGGCTCAGGGCACAGAGGACAAGCGTCAAGATACAAAAGATGGCCAACCAGGTACAACTGTGCTTTGCAATATTATAGAATAGAATGCGGATGGGGTATAAGAGGGAGTCCACTGTGTTTGTGGGGTACAGGGTACGTAAGTTTCTGATCTACTTTTCCATCATGGCGAATAGCATGTCCTTAGACAACTTAGTTAGCTTTATTCAAACTCAATTTTCCAATCTGTGAAATGGCAGCATTCACTTTATGTTGTCACTCTCTTTGATGACCAGGGCTCACAGTTAGGAGCCTCTCAAGACCCTGGTGTCTAGGGTGGTGAAGAAGAGCTTTCTGGAATGAGTGAACATGTGTCAAGTGCTCTGAGGTCCTTCTATGAAGGGCACCCTGTCCCCTGTACCAGCTGAGCAGTGCAGGTGGGCTACTGTCAAAGGATCTTTTTTTCTCTCTTTTTCTCCAGAAGGACAGAATAATGGACTCCCAGATTACCAAGCCCCACCAAGAGGATCACCCCAGGAACCCTTGAGGGCTGAGGAGTGCACTGAGGCTAGTGCATCTGGAGACTCCAGGATGAAGACGCAGCTTGGGGTTGTCAAAGGTGCAACCTGCCAGCTGAGCTCTCCACGGGTTGAGCCTGGTCCCCTTTGCCTTGTTCATGGCTTAGGACAGTGCTTAGCATATAGTAAAAAACTTGAAAATGTTTGTTAGAGGATGTACGGAGGGTCATCTCTTCTGAATGGCACACTGTCCACTGTCATTGTCCTCAGAGGCTCCAGCCTCCAGTGCTTCTTAAACTGCAATGTGGATGATGGCGGCAGGTGGGTCCACGGCTCAGCATGAGAGCTCACAGCAGGCATTGCTCCACCCCACCCCGGCCTCCAGTCTTATGTTTTCTCTGCCTTACTAGGCTGGCCTAGAAACTGCTTCCAACTGAAGCCAGCCAACATGCCTGCCCCTAACCACACCTACAACTCTAGGGTCACCTTTAGTCTAGATCAGCTGTCTTTAAACTACAGCCTTTGCTGAGCATGGTGGCTCATGCCTGTAATCCCAGAACTTTGGGAGGCTGAGACAGGTGGATCGCTTGAGGTCAGAAGTTCAAGATCAGCCTGGTCAACATGGCGAAACCCCGTCTCTACTAAAAATACAAAAATTAACCGGGCATGGTGGTGCACACCTGTAATCCCACCTACTCGGGAGGCTGAGGCAGGAGAATCGCTTGAATCCAGGAGGCAGAGGTTGCAGGGATCCTGAGATTGCACCACTGAACTCTAGCCTGGCGACAGAGTGAGACTCTGTCTCAAAAAACAAAAACAAAAAACTACAGCCTTTGGGCTAAATCTGATCAATGATCTGTGCTTGTGAGCTCTGAGTTAAGAACAATTTTTATGTCTCTAAAGGTTTGAAGAATACAAAAAGAATATTCAATAGAAGCTATCTGGCTAGCAAAGCCTAAAGTATTGACCCTCTGGCCCCTTTACAGAAAAGGTGTGCCAGTCACTGGATTAGGCAGTGCCTACTGCATGCCAAGCTCCCTGCGAAAATTTCAAGCACACGGACTCATTTCCTTTCTCTTATCAACACTGAGGCAGGTGTGATTATCATTCTTTGTAAAAATGAAAAACTAAGGCATGGAGTGGTTTAACTCATTTACCTGAGAATCTATTAAGTAACAGAGCCAGGATTCAAACCCAGGCAGTCCAGCTTCAGAGTCCATGCTTCTTAACCGGCATGCCACTTGGCCTCTGAATATGGCTGTGATCAAGTCTTACGACTCTCCTTTGCTTAGCTGCTCTCTGGGCTATGAGTGTAGGGATAAGCTTCAGACAAAAACTCCCCTCTTAGTTTCTGCCCTGTACTGCCCCACAGCCAGTGGACAGGCATTTTGCACCCCAGCCTGTCCCCAGCCAGCTCCTCCTCACCCGGCACCTGGAGGTCTGCTCGATCCTGCTCCCGCTGAGGCTGGACACATCTCCATGAGCCAGGCCTGAAGTTATTCCCCTCTCTGGACCTCGGGGCCTCCCTTCCTAGGGGCAGTTCCTGGGTCCCCTCTCCTCTCTGCCTTCCCCACCTCCCACCATGTCCTTCCAATAAGGGGCTGGATTTGTAGTGTACAGCCTTGGGAACAGGACTGGGCTCAGGGGCTGGGAACAGAGACCTAGGGCTCTGGCTGACCTGCTCCCATCCCCAGGAGGAGAAGCTGCTGTGTTTACAGTGTCACAATGAACAGTGCTGGAGGCTTCAGTAACCAGGGGTGATGCTGAACTTTAAGGCTGAGCAAATGCGATGGTGCCTCTGTGGTCAACAGACCTGGCAAAGGGGTAAAGGAAGGGGTGAGACTGGAAAGACAGCTGCCAAGGGGAACAGAGAGCTTTTCAAGTCACCCTGTCCCTTCCCCACCTCACCATCAAGGCTAAGACTAAACCTCGCCATCCGGTTGCGGCCCCTTAGCCCTGGGGGTGGACATTAGTGAAGGTAGACAGGCCATGTTCTGGCTGTGTGGCCTTGCACAGGTTACGAAGCACTCTGTAACTCACTTTCCTTGTTTTTAAAGTGATGATGATGATGATGACTACCTGGCAGGATCTTATATTAGAGATAATACGGTTCCTGGCGCGTTGCTCGGTGTGAAATTGTCTTCTGCCTGCTCCCCTTCATCAGTCCGCACCCCCTCTGCAGAGGTTTCCTCCATGTTGAGGTTGAGCAAGCTGGCAGCACCTAACTTCCTGCTGGGTGCATCCCTAGTGCCTTCTGCCCAGGCCTCAGGACCTCCAGGGATCCTGGCCCCTTTGGACAGGGACTTTTGTGCCCTCCTCCTCTTTTATCCAGAAAGAGTGAGTCCTGCACTGAATTTCCATGAGATCATTGCTTACTAACACTTGTGAGTGAGTCACTGTCTAGAAAGCAGCTTTTCTGATCTTTTCCCATTAATTTCACAAAAGTTATGCCCTTTTGCCCTTACTACAGCCCTGTGAGAGGTTCATTACCCCACATTAGAGACAATTAATGCTCCGAGATGAAGTGACTCCCCCAGGGTCACCTAGCTAAGCAGTGGCAAGTGGTCCACCCACCCAGGCCCTCTCACTCTGACTCCTGTTCTCCGTGTCATTGCGTATGGCGACGTGTGGGTCACATGATCACACATCCCTGGCTGATACGAATTGTGAGCTTCTCCTGGGTCTTCCGAGGAAGGATGCTTTCAGAGTTGCTTTGGAATGAAGGCAGTGGAGACCAAGAGACCTCTAGGTCAAAGCCAGGCAGGAGGGTCCTCTCAAGGGCCAAGCCAACGAGTTGCATTTCTCCCTCAGAGGCTTGAAGAGGCAGAACAGCCAGAGGAGTCTGGGGCCACCTCAGCATCACTCAGCTGTGTGGGAAAACAGCAGCAGGAAATGTCCTCTCACCTGCATGTACCACCTCCGCCTGCCCCTTCTCTCCTTCTGGAAGCTGTGTCTGACCACTGGCCTGCCCCTTCTATGGGAATCCTACTGACCTTGCCGCTTACTATAGACTTATATGTATGCATAAATATAATTTTAATTACTTTTGTATTGCTCCAAAAGTGATAGAGAATCATGATAGAAAATTTAAATAAACAAAACAGCCCAATTAATACCAGTAATCATCCCAGTCAAATATACCCAGCTCATATTTTGGTATCTAATTGTCCAGTACATTTTCTATGTATATATTGAATTTTAGGAAGGAGACTATATTTTACATGCTGTTTTCTAGAATGTTCTTTTAAAACTATCATGAACATCTTTCCTTATAATTAAATAGTCTTCTACAACAAACTTTCCTAATGAATTTTTTTTTATCATGGTCACTGTTGTGTTACGTGCATCTTAGTTTAGCCTCCTCAGTTACACTGTAAGCTTATTAAGCACCCATGTTCTCCAGCCAGCTCCAGGATAGGTTTGTTCATTGATTGGTGGCTGTGTGGGGAAGGGGAAGGAAGTAGAAAGTGAGTGAGATTTGAGTAAACAAGCTGGGTTTAAACGCTAAGTCTGTATATTCCATAAGCACACCTGCCTTCTTTTCTTCCTTCATTCTTTCCTTCCTCCCTTCTTTCTTTCCTTCCTTCCTTCTTTCCCTTCCCTTCCCTTCCTTCCTTCCTTCTTTGCTTCCTTTCTTCTTTCCTTCCTTCCTTCCTTTCTTCCTCCCTCCCTCCTTCCCTCCCTTCCTTCCTTCCTTCCATCCTTCCTGTAACAAATGCCCTGTTAGATATTTTACATATTCATGTAAATATGCACTCATTTAAATATCATGTGGGCACCTCCTCTGAGTGGCCCTGAGCTTGGTTCTGGGGCTGTGGCACTGCACAGGAGAAACCAGGTCTCTGCTCCCCAGGAGCACAATGCATCGAGTGGGGGCACAGACTCTAATCAAGCCAACAAACAAAACCTAAACAGGTAACTACCTGGTGTTAAATACAACATTGACATGGATAAGAATGGGAATTACAGGGGAACACACTTGAGCGGGGGTTCAGCAAAGCCCTCTCTGGGGAGGTGTCAAGCCAAGACCTAAAGGAGCCTGCTGCAGGGAGGATGGAGAAGATGTCCTGGCAAAGGCCCTGAGATGGGGAAGGCCCTGAGATGGGGAAGGATTTGGCTTACATGAGGGACTTGTGTTGGTCAGAGCGGCCACAGATCATGAGGGAGCAGGAAGTCTGCAGGGAGGTTGGGGCTCAACAACAGCCAGGAGACACTGGGTTCCTGGGGTTCGGCAGAGAGACTGGCTTTACTCTAACAGCAGCGGACAGTCACTGAGGGATTTTATGTGGGTCGATTTGCATTTTAAAGTTCTTTGGGGTGCTGCGTAGAGATTAATCTGCAGAGGCTCCATTTGGCTTTCAGACCCCACTCTTCTGAATTGCCTTCTTTCTCACTGGCCTTGAGAGTCACATTTGCCTTGAGGGCTTTGTCCTTAGATAGCTTCTCTTTTCTATCTTTACACAACACCTTGAGTCTTAGGGAAATCTATGTCATCTTTACACTGCCATCTCCTTCTCCTTGGCCTCTAGGCTGATGTATCCAGCTGCTTCTGCCACATCTTCATTTGAGTGTCTAACATCATCACAAACTTCTGACCCTTGCCCCAGGATCTCCTGATCTGCCATCTTCTCCATATTTGTTCATGGCGACTCTGTCTTATCAGTCACTCAGGATATAGCCTTGAGGTCAGTCAACCTTGGGACTCCCCTCTCTCATCCATCTTATGGAAACTACCTTTGCAAAAGGTCTATCAGTGAGAAAATCATAACAGTAAGCTAAGCTAACTCCATCTCCATCTTGCCTTTCCTTTAATTATTCCTGGGATATTGGGCCAGGCTAATTTTGGAAGAAATTTAGGCTACAGTTTAAATGATAATAGGCCTCGCCCAAAATTCAACCACTTTTGTAAAGCTAGTAAGAGGCCATCAGGGTGCAGGGAGGAGAGGAGCCTGAATCCTGCTAAGGTGCAGATGTTATTCCAGAGGTTATGAGATATGCAACTTCCTCAATTACTCCAGCAAATAACACTTCTATTGTAGATTGGCCTTTCGTGAGCTCTTTCCACGTTTTTTGCGTGTCTGACACCCATGGCTCCGCCTGG